AAATGGCAGGCTTTATGATAGTTATCATTAGCCCTTTAATCGAATTCGGGCTTCACAGATTGAAGGAACAGACAAAGTCACAAAATTTGAGAATGGAGGGGGGGGGGCGAAAGAAGAGTGATTCAAAAATGAAAAACAGACAGACACAATGGTAGAAGAAAGGGTAAGGTGAGTACTGTAGAAGTGGTCGAATATGACATGCAGTTGAGTTACGGTAGTTTGAAGTCAACTGCCAGTTTATTGACTTTTTTGCCGTATGAGTATACGTTGTTCAGGGTGCACCACGTCAAAGTAAGTCTACTACGCACCCCTCAGACGATAAATAACTTCTTACTTGGTGCAAATTAAAGGAATGAGTTGTTGTAACACTACTTATCTCACTTCTGCGGTGCGTCTAGCCAGTATAAGCGGAGATCTATAGATTTGAAATTTGGCCAAAGCTTTTTAACGTGGCTGAGTTCATGAAGAATCGAGACTTATTCCCTGGGACTTTTATTCACTTTCATAATTTTGATGTATTTGTTTTAATGCTTTCATATAGACATGAACTGGAATATTTCCCCAAAAAGTCTTCATGGTTATCAGCGCCAACCCCTGCTAGCATTTACTGGGGTTGCTAGAGGCTCAGGAGCACCAGGTGAGCTTTCATGGTCTGACTTGGCTGAAGACCTGGTGAATACCAAGGTCACATTTCAGTCATGGAGTGGATCAACCTCCACAGGGGTGAGCAATCGTGCCTTCAACGGTCACTCTCGTGGACTCTTTCTTGCTACAAGCGGTGGTGGTCTGATTTCGGATCCTTCATCGCCATCCACTCTGGACACTGATGTCTGTGCACCCCTTCGATTAGTGCGGTCTAGAGCTTGGCGGCTCTTTTCAGCTTCTGCTTATCTTCATCAATATGCACAGTATGGCATGGAGGATCCGAAAGAAGCTTTTCTGGAAGCTTTTGCCGTAGTGGAACAAACCATCCACTCCTATTCACAATTAAATAATTCTTAATGACAATTTGTAAAATCTTGTTAGTTATTATTTACTTTTTTTTATAAATATAATCATCATAATTATCTCAAATTGTATAATCATGTAAACTTGAACGAATGAGGTAAATGCTAAATATGGTAAAGTACCTGAATTTGGGGAAGAGAGTGTAATAAACCATTACAGGAGAATATTTGGTGGCAAAGCATAAGTGCCATAACGAAAATGATAAATTGATTATGGAATAAATAAAGCAACAATAAATTTACTTAGAAGGTAATTTTAGAACAGTTTTTCTTTAGATGCTTATCAGTCCATTTTGAAAATCTGGATGATTTTAAATGTTTTTTTTAGTCATAGTGCGAAGTACATTTTCTCGATGTACTTGAATATATACTTTGTTTTCCGGTACGAATAATTTCACCTATCTGATTAAATATTAATCTTTTTATCGTTTTCCACTATTCGTGGTTATGAGTATGGTCTCTACTAACACTAGGATTACACTTTGTGCAACGCAACTTACTCAATACAGAACTAACAAATCAACTAATCATTATGAGGGGCTCAAGTATGTGGAAAATTTTCCACTTTATTGGTAAATGCACGCATACGTCTTCGAGATTAAAAGGTCACGACGTTTGATCGATGTTCATCCGGTGTTTTGGATGTTCTGGGTATATTGGTTTATGAGGTGACAAACATTTACTTGACTGTAAGAGCGGTTACAAGATGGGCTCTATCTCTCTCTCCCTCCCTCTGTCAAAGTGAAATCTTTTGAATGCTTCTCCTAATGCGTTTGGGGAGTTTACACAGACTGTGCTGGCAATGGTGCGACTCCCAAAGCAATGGCGATGTAACTACTGCTCACCCGAACACATTAGGTGACTTGGTCAAATAGGGAACTTGGCTAATTCTGGTCAACCATATATGGTTGGTAAATTAATTTTGGGATCTAATAAACGCTTTTCATGGCTTTTGCAAAAAAAGCTAAATGGATAAGTACTTATTACACCCCGACAGCTTATTTTAATATACAAAATTTGCCGTTTCTTAAAATATGGTAGTTGGAACCAAATTTCCAACCTATAAATGGTATTGGCATTGTTACCATTAACTCCATGAAATACTACTTTCTATGATAAAGGTCAATTTGGAAATTCCGTTCACCGGTAACCAATTATTGGGCGGAAATAGGTATCCCCCCCTATTATTCGAAAATTACGCTTCCATGAATTTTCATCTTCAGAATGAATTAGGATATTATTGAAATTTTATTTTAAAGAATAACTTACTGAAACGGTTTTTAAGTGGATTTCTATTGATACGATTGTCTTGTGAAATTTGTAAAGGTGGAGTTTGAAATAATGAATTTCAAATACAATCAATCATGTATTAAATCGCTCCTCCTAAATGTAAGAAACGCTGAATTGCACAATTTCTTTGATGTGGTTTCGGATACTTTTCCTCGAGAGTATAGATTAAAGCCACAGTTTAGAGTAGGGATGCGAAACTAAAAGGTAATAAGGAAAAAAAGCGAAGATGAAAGTTTTTGGGAAAGCTATTTGAAAAGTTGAAAAACTTAGTAACCCATCACATATAATTATCTTTTCCAGGTTTTAATTATAAGAATATCAAAATAACTCACCATGGGAACGAAGATAGGTAGGGATGACAAGAATTCTACTTAATTTGCATTCTTCATACTTGAAAGAGTTCAAATCTGTGGTAGTCGAGGTTTCTTTTGTCTATTTTGGTTCATTCCTCCTATCTTACAGCCGTGGACAGATAGACAAAGGCCACCAAATATTCCATGACTAGAGTTGTGCGGGAGCATTCCGAAGTGAAAGTCTCTGGTTTATTTGGGCCTCGATTACATATAATGAATAAAACATAGAATGATTACTTTTAATTGTCCGAGCACGAATTTCAAAGGCCGTATCTGCCCAGCATATTAGTAATCAATAAAAGGTGCGTGTGAGTGCTGGCCTTGCTAACTACTTAATAGGCATAGTAGTTAACTTTGAATCAGTTGAAATTCCCTAGCCAACTGTATTTATTGATAGAATTTATTTAGGCAGTTGCACTCTCCATGCACACACCCAGTCCAAAGTCAATGACGATTCATAATCCATAATTACTGGCATTACGATCGTTAATCCTTACTATTTAGAGTGCGCAACACGGGGTTCGCTAAACCATTTCGCAAGTATTTGTGTATCTCATTTTTATTATTAACGCAAGTAGAACCCCATCAATAATCATTTTTTATCTTCGGCCTTTTTAGAAAATTCCTCTAACCAGGTCTGGACGATAAAATTACCGATCTAGCTAAAATTACAATAGCACTAGCTTCTGTGCCACCAAGCCAATATAATTGCAGACCTCTCTATGCCTTTCTCTCATATTTCTCACCAAAGCACAAACCTTACTAAGTCCTTTGGCTGTAGCATAATGTCCACGCATCTGTCATCAACATCATTACCGATCCAATGTACATAAAATTAAATTACAGAAGTAGTGTGAAAGTCAACTTTGCAAAATGTAGGGAAAAAACTTTAGCCCACCTATTAAAATGAATTCATAAACTTACTTTCTTCCAACTGAAGCTATTGGTTATTAGCCTTCCTCAATAATTTATTCAACTTGAATTGATTAGCTAGAAGAATGAATTGAACAGTTTGGAAGACATCTCTAAGTTGGGGGGAATTGAAATTATTCTAGAAGGGTACTAATTTATTGTCACTATTTCACTACCTTCCACGCAAAAAGCATTCATTAAAAATATTTACCAATTCATATCATCTGATTAGTTGTCAAGGCCCTTGAACTTATGTTCGCATATCTGCCCACATAGATAATGGATGTAAATAGGAGTATATTGTTTCCCAATTGAAAGCGTAGAGGATGCAAAATCTTAAAATTAAGACTCATGGAAAAGAGATGATCAATATTTAATCCGACATAGCATTTAAAGGGACATAAAATTGCCCCGTTGGTTATATGACAGGCCACTCTTAAATTAACGCGTTAAGTGGACTTATTATAGCCTATCATTTGAATCAGCTTTTGCCGTTTACTTACTATTCCAGTTAATTGTGATGTGAACGCTGTTTTCCCACGTTCGATTGGTTCCTACTACGTGTAGGCTGTTAAGCTTACACTGGCTTGAATGAACGCTCGATATGTATTTATAAATTATTTAGTGGGTGGCTTACTAAATGTAGCTTTGTTGGGTTTGAATAGAAAAGTTACATAAATATGATAGTTATTGCAAGCAAAAAAAATAATTTTCCAAGTTGTAATATATCATTACACGGGGTGTGCGATAGACTTACCTCCACGTGGTGCACCCTGGGCAATGTATCCTCATGCGGCAAAAAGTCTATTAATCGGCAGTTGACTTCTCACTTCAAACAACCATCACCCCCACTGTATGTCATATTCGACCCCCTACCACTACTCATCTTACCCTTTCTGAGCCTTTGTGTCTGTTTCTTTTACATCTGTGAAACGCCCTTCTATTCCCCCTCCTGAATTCTTCTCACTTTGATGTTCCCCCTCCCCTCTGTGAAGCCCGAAGTCAACTAAAGGGCTAATGATAACTATCAAAAAGCCTGCCATTTGTTATAAATAGATAAATATATCATTACAATGATTGATGAAGTGGATTGCTACACAAGTAAGCCTTTATTTATTAGCCAGTAATCTCAATGACAAGATCATCTATTTCGAAAAGACTCCCAAGATTAATTAAGCTACCTCAAAGCCATAGAGGAAGCAAACGTATAATCTGAAATACATTTATTTGAAAAGCGTCATGAGGACTGGGTGCTTAGTCATTTATAGTACAATGGATGGTTTACTAAACCAGCCATTGTACTATTGATTAGCGACTAGCTGGTTGGTCGCCGCACTTACTCCCTGCGCGAAGTGGCAAGGCCGCACCTTCGAGGTTGTTTGAGTGCGCATGACATTTCTTTGTTCAGCGATGCCAGCGTTGTGGGCTTCACAGGCGGGAGAGAAATCAAGACTGCAGGTTTATATTTAAATGTTAAACCAAGATGAACTAATAAGGGGAATTAAAATACTACATATAATAATTACTTTGGTAGAGGTGTGCTCTCCTCTTCTTTCCTTTTTGAACCACAATTACACCGATGCAGACGAATAAAATTGTTAAAATTTACGAGCAGGGGTCCACTAGCGGTAGTACCCGGGGTTTTCCGAAAAGCCGCCCAGGGCGGTTAAACGAGAAATTCCATTTCATGAAGCTGTTTTTGGAGCCAAGTAACCGCCCAACGAATAAGTGCCCAAGGATAATGAATTTTTTTAATTTTTAATTCAATAATGAAATAAACTCTGTCTCTTTTAATTTGACGATATACTTAAATTGATTAAAACCACTTCACCTCAGGCCAGCTAAACTTCAAAATTATGTTCTACTACGGTTTAAGGTCGACGCTTCCAACCGATAAGCAGGCTGATCACCGTGTTAATCTAATGGTAGTACCTTGAATGATTACAAATTTCTGGTACATGTATAAACCACAAGGGTAACTGTGAAATAAAATTTATTGAAGCCAATTTCAACATACTTTCCTTTAATTAAAGAAAACGATGTACTTCCTTCAATTCACCATTATTCTTTCATACTTAAAATGAATAAAGTCTTGTGATAAAATTAAAAATGGTCATCCAAATATTCTTTAGGATTCATGTATTTAAGCTTATTATAAGTTACGGGATTAAACATAATCTTAAATGGTCAAATTGTATTAATATGATCATTAATTTAAAGGTGGTCTAACAAAGACTAAAAAATAACGCTTTTTCTGAACTCAGGACTAATTTGAAGGCATCTCTAGCCCCCATGTTCTTAATGATAGGTGCTGTTTATTCCAACAACTTAAAAACATTCACCCTTGAAAATGCTTCATAACCATGTCAAGAGTTTGACATAATCTAGCAACTGCCATGGGCGATCAAAAATCTCTTTAGGTAAAATATCTGATTCCACACATATGAAAAATGCGTTGATCTCTTAAGAATGGCGATTGGTTCAATAATATCTCTTTCAGGGCATTTGTAACAATTTTGCAGCGAAATAGTCGTGGAAACGGCGTTGCTTTTTGCAGAAGCTGCTTCATGCAATTGGCCAATGACAGATGGAAAAATTTCCATCTTTAATCGCAGCGATTTTTCAAAGCATATTAAAGAAATCAATTTTAAAGATTAAAGGTACTTTTGGTTAAAACGCGTTTGAAAATTCCTCCACCTCGTTCTTCCTAACGCTTTGCCTATTCTTGCCTCTCACAAGGTGGATAGTAGCAAATTGAGGACTGTTCGAAGCAAGGCTCATCAGATGATAGTGGGCCCGCAAATGTTGACTGGAAATGTTCCTTCTAGAAACCTTACAGAAGCGTCGGCTCAACCACTGGGCAAGTCAGTTTGTGAATTTTGAAGTAAAATTTCAAGGCAATTGTTTGGTATCCTAATGACTGCCAAGAAGGTCAGGGCCCAGATTTTCGTCGGCTTTTTTACAGGTTGGCTGGTTTTTAGTAAAAAGGTTAATTATATTATTATTTTCTTACAACTACAGTTTAAATGCAGGCTGCAATTCATGTTCCTAAACTAATAGACAAGAAATTAGGCATTCGAGCAAAATCGTTGAAACGATTAACTTTTTCCAATATGGATATTAATGGTCAGATATCGTGTCAATTCAAATAAAACCTTTAATACAACAATGTTTTCTTAAATATGAATAAAAATGCCTAGAACAAAAATGTGCTTTTCTGAAACGTTGGCCTTGAAGGATGACTCTCCACGTACTCGTCACTTTCTTGACGGAAATACGTCGAATTTTTGTTTTTAACATCCCATTGAATCAAATCCACCTCTTTTAGTGTTGATGCGTTTATTGATTTTCATCTTTCGGTAATTGTCTGTCTTACCGCGTTCTTGTCTTTAGATTTCCCCAACCCCCCCCCCGGCTCTACCTCATCTCTCTATTACTCCCTCCATTCCTCATCGAGACCTATTCGCTAAGCTTTAGCCTGAACATCTCATCATGCTCCAGTTTGTGGACCGTGGCTTGCAGTCTAAGGGCTTATAATTTGGCGATTTTACAAAATTGGCTTCTGTCGAACCAACGATCAGGGGAAGTTCGTAGGGCCGCATAATAATAACTTCAAAGCTTACTCGCGAAAATTGCATCGAGCCACCCCCTTCATTTTATTTTGTGTGGGCTTGAAGTCTTGGACTTCTAGGCATGGCTTTGTGAACAAAACTATTTACTACGCGTGAGAGGAGTAAAGGAGCTACCTTTGGCCTTCAATCCTCCTGCATTTACATTGTGTTAATGTCTCAATTTGTATTACCACAACGCCATGACTACCACTTCACCTCTATTGGCCATTGTTTGAGTTGAGTAAACAAAAGTAAACCGGAAGTCCAAAAGTACGTAAACAAATGTCTGGGAGACTGAGAAGGTGGATTCACTGCCGCAATGGGAGGTGGGGGGAGGGGGGAGGGGGAGGAAGACAAAAGACCAACCAAATTTGCTAGATTAATTCAAAGTAAGCAAACTTTTTTCATTATTTGACACCCATTACTAAAATGGTATATATATGAGTAATTCTCTGCTCATCCGATGGTTTGAGTACCGCTGGCAAAGGCCTTAATTATTTTGTAGATTTGTTCGCAACTTCACTATTCAATTGACATTAATATAAAACGTCGATATTTGACTCTGTGTCTAAAGTGGTGGGATTCACATTTTTACTGACAAAATATCGTAGATCACACTCGAAGGTCTGTTTATCTGATGTTATTGGTTATCGAATGAATTACACTTCTCTAGATAGACAAATAAATAAGTAGAAATGCCGAACTTTAATTATCAGTTATTGACTATCTTGCACCCTCTTACGCCAAAACTTCCTGTCACAATTCCAAAAAAAGGTTCACCCTTTTTTCTCTATGTGCATAATTGTCTTTTGAAGAGTCTAAATTAATGAAACATTGCGCTATCGTATTCCCATAATATCTCTTTAAGACAATGGTCAAATTAGTTTTCATCCAGATCAAAATCTTTTTTAAGTCCTGTGCAATGTAAGAAAATACTTCCCGATTTCTGCCATATGCCCATTCGGTGCTGAATTTTATTGATCAATAAGAGGACGTTGTACGTTCCACTACGCTCATATTAGTGCAAGAATGTCGGACCCTCAAAATTCCTGCAAACGGGGAAAAATTTTATGTTTTAATTCAATTAATTGGTAAATAATATAATGATTTGTTAAAATGAAATTGAGGGGGGGGGGCGGTTGGACCAACTCTGGATCGAATGTTTAGATTCCATTATGTTGTATAATTTCAGCTTGTTATTCATAGCCTCCCACGTGTCTCAATAATGCAGGCAAATATCTTTTCAGGAATAAATTATATGTAAACACAGCATTCATTCAGAATTCCTATTGTCTTTTAGATTATACCCTTCCTATTGCTGCAGTGAATTCTAATTAAAATATCTATACATAGGTAAATTATGTACACTTCAATTTGGAAAATAGTTGGGAATCCAACGTTGGATCAGGTTCCGCAGTGGCACAAATTTTAGAATTTTAATCGATTAGTGCCAAACTTGCCCATTTGTGAAAGCCTCGCTTCATAATCAATGGTCAGTCGCATTTGTCAACATAATTATTTTACGCATACATCATTCTAATGTCATGCACCGATCCACTTTATAAATGTGTCTGAAAAGCGCGCCATTTCCCCAAAATGCTTATTGGCTATAAACGCTTTGCGGCGGAATTAAGAGATGTTAATTATGAGAAGCATGTGAAAACGAGAAATGGCGGAAAAATCCCACAATTTTTGTGAAGTCCAGAAGAAGATGAATTCGTTATTAATATAAGATAGGGTCGCCACTGACATTACGATGTGCAAGCATTCATTGATCATAATGTTTCAGTATAGCTACAAAAGGAAGTTCAACACCTTAATGATGGGTAAGCTTTTCTTATTGGGAAGATGAAACCGCTTTTAGTTATCTAGGGTATATGTAGGTTGATTGGCCACTTGATTATCCAATCATATGCTAGTGACTGATTTCAGTCTCGTAGAAATTTGATGTCCGAAGCAAGAATTGCGTTAGGGGGGGGGGGGGGAGGGGATTTATTAAATTCTGCTGAGAACCTTGAAATGATTATATTCTGCATGTAAATAACAGATTTCCCAGTTTGTGGTTTTAGTATACTGACCGAATGTTCCGCGAGTTTCTGTGCAATGGTTAACGTCCTCCATGCTAGAAATTAATTGAGTTAACCAATGCAAATACGAGTAAATTTTCCACGATTCGCCAGAGCCCAGTCAAGATTTATCACTTCCAATTGGGCTTAGCCAAATAAAAGCTCATCCACTCCAATTTGCCATATTAAATTCTAGCAAATACACTCTCACAATGTGGGTTCCTTGATTTGATGAAGACAAGCGAGCATATTTTTATTGTTTAAAGTGGCGTAATGCAATATAATAATGCTAAAAGTTGAATAGGATCTAATATTATAAGAAAAAAGACACGAATAAACAAGTATTGCGTGATATATTGTCATATAAAAGTGCGTCCTTATATGTGTCATGTTAACTAATAGATAGTGGTATGCTTCTGCGCCGTATTATAGGCCCACTAGATGGTTGGTTCAAATGAGCAGGTCTGGCTGACGATAATCTTGGAATTCTTTGACCATTATTCTCAAAATCCTTAGTAGATCGACCTGGGGGCTGTGAAAGTGTTAAAGACGTGGGCATTGCCGCAGCATTTGGCCGTGGAATGGACGTCTTGGTAGCACTATCACCGCCTATCTGAATGGCTGGATGAGTCACTTTAATGGCGTAGCCAGTTCTAGCCATAAGAGGTCTGGGAGGGCCTTGGGTTGGTGTTGTCTGGGGCGCTCGAATGGGTCTTTTAATTCTGCTTGAATCATTGGTATTGGGAAGGAGCTTTTGGAGGTTCGAGTATCTCGGGGGAACAGGTTTTGGTGGTATTAAAAGTGAAGGACGCTTGATAACACCACTAGAAGTTGATTGCAGATTAAGACAACTAGATGCTCGATTAATTGGGGGAAGGGGAGAGGGCTCCTTTTCATCTTCTTCTCCATCTGAAACGTCAAAGACGAGTTGGTAGGATTCAGCTCTATGGAGACTAAGTAGTGAACGAGAAGTAGGTATTGAAGGAGGTGTATTCAGAAGATCCGGAATTGACGATGTTCGATTATCGTGACCATTTGCAATAGGATGTTCATCGACAGGGAAGATGGGATCGTCGAGATTGAGTAAGGAATTAATGTCATCCATCTCGATTATCGGTTCACGACAGATACATTCAACGATGCTGGCTTCTTCAAGATTGAGTTGAGTCAAATTTTTCAAACTTGGTAATCGGGGAGGAAGAGGGCAAAGCGTTGCCTGTCTCGCCTTTGTTTCAACTGCTTTTGTCTCGCCGAAGAACATTTTGGAGATTCGACAGTCACCTTCTATCACAATACTCTGGATGAAACTAACGGGAACCATATGCTCGGAAAGGGAAAGACAAACGTTATTGAGGAAGATCTATAAGGTAAAGACAAATTTATTCAAAGTGAATTCTTTCCAAAAAAACATTAATAATACTAAACGCTGATAGGCTGAATTCCTTAAATGATGCTTAGTGTAAATATAAGTATTAATTAAGGTTCATTATGTACTTCCACTATTAATTGTTTGAATTTCAATTGATTTAAACGGGATCGATAAAAATGTTGCTGTAATAGGTTTCGTTATTTTTATCTGGAATCCGTTCCTTTTAATATGGGCAATAAATAATTAATCTGCTAGTCTTCTTAGGGCTAACGATTAACTGTTATTTCATATATTAATGGAAGTAAAACAACGGGGTAAATGGATTTATACACTGAGGATCTCTATCCCGTTAAGCGCAGCTTCATGGTATTCAAACTACCAAAATTGGTATGTTCTAACTCCCACTCTTATCAGCTGGTAATTGTGCACCAACGATGCTTCAGACCTAATAATAAAGTTTGGAAATATGAAGTATTCCGAAACATTGGCCAATCATATTAATGCAACTTTTTTCATCTTTTTTATTAAATCCTATTCTCTACGTCTACTACTAAACCACTTTTTTCACGACAAAATTAGACGCAAAGCATAATGGCAGTCTGGAGATGTAAACCTCATTTCTTCCTTTTGGAATCTTCTTTAACGCATTTGGTAGGATGTAGCCGGCATGGTTCTTTATTAAATACTAAACCCCAGACAAATGGTCATAGTCGAAGTCTATCGTTTTTAAGAACTGAGAAGACTAAATAAGAAATAAGAAGATTTTAGAAGAAAAAGGTTTGCCCTTCAAAGTGACAGTGCCAGGACCCACAAGAGAAGAATGACCTCTGAAAATTGAAGAATTAAATTTGGAAGTTTTGCTACATCTCCCATATTTGCCTAACCTCAAATAATCCGATTACCACTCTTTGAGCATGCTTTAAACAAAAATATTTCTCTGTGTGGCTGAAGTCGAGGACCATTTGATAGAGTATTTTAATTAAAAACAGCATTTTTTTTAAAAAAGGGATCGAAAAGGTAAGAGATTTTCAATAATATCCATACACAAATAAAAAATGAACGACTCTTTATCCTTAACCGTGATTTCGACTTAGGGCTTTTCCACACGTTAGATTTTTTCTGTGCTAATGATTACCTGACAATAATTGTGAAAACTGTGCCGCCAAATGTTAAAGAAGTGATTTACTGATTTATTTCTTTTTTGCGAGAACGCTTTGCGGTCTTTCCTGTTAGTCAGTTTGTTTCATAGAATTAAGTTAGTCAAACACTCGTTCGCCAGCAACCCACTTTTAACTAAGAACTAACCTTAAAACTGTTATGAACACTACTATTTTGGTGTGCAAACAATGATGATAATTCAGTAAAACGAGTATTTCACTGTTTTTGTAAAGTTTGAGCAATCATTATTAGAACGATTTTGAGTATATTAGCTTAAGGCAATAGCTGCTTCATTAATATTGACCAGTCATTTACTATTAATTAAGAAAGACCTGATTTACTTTCAGTGGGACAAAATTCGTGCAGTTAATTTGAATTCTTGAGGTAGTTGTCTCAGAGATTTCTAACAGTATGCTTTAACTAAAAAAGGATGCAAAGCAATGACAATATGAATTTTCAAGGTACTTTTAAGGAATCCATAATGAACCTGGATTTAAATTCAACCTTCAATTTTTTAAATAATTTTTTTTCGATGTAATCCAATGGCTGTTCCAACTACAGCTAATAAATTTAATTAAATTATATAAAATAAACCGCCAAGTAAATAAAATTTTGGCAGTATTTATTTTTTTGAAATTCTTAATTAAGTATGTCCTCATGAACCACTAATTTAGTCCTATTAACTTTGTCAAACTGGTCACTTGCACCATCACAACCACGTGCTTACCTGTTTACGAAATTGAACTTTTACTCGATTAAGAACTTGTAAATTTTGGTTTTTATTAGTAATCGCTTTATAGAGTAAAACCATATTATGCTGAAATCCACCGTTTGAATTAAAATATTTGATGCTTTTTTAAAATCCATGTTTAGCACTACTCGAAAACGGAGTGGAAAATTTCTGACGGTGTGAAGAGAGAGAGCAGAAATCTTGGTGACCGAAATTCACCTCTTGGATCTTCTATTAGAGGACTTTCTCGCGTCGAAGTATAAAACTAGAAATTGGTTAATATAGGAAATGAAAAAAATTCGTATAGGTTATGATTCGTCAGCGGGTGTGCGATAGACTTACCTGCACGTATACTCATACCTCAAAAAAGTCTATTATCTGGCAGTTGACTTCCAACTACCATGACCCGACTAGTTGTCATATTCCGCCATTTCCACAGTACTCGCCTTACCCTTTTCTCCACCTTTGTGTCTGTCTGTTACATTTACATCTATGAATCACTCCTCTGTTCCCCTTCCCCACTGTGGCTCTGATGTTCCTCCCTTCTGTGAAGCCAGAAGTCAACTAAAGGGCAAATGATGACTGTCAAAAGGCCTGCCATTTGATATAAATAAATGATTCGTCAACAGTAATTTTATGGTGTTACTTCACAGTGGACACTTTGTTCTACTCAGAAACGGTATTTTTATATTAGCCATTAGATAGGGCTCTTGGTAGGTATCAACAGATACGCACTAGTTTCTGATTAAATATGGATTTATCACAATTGAAAGCAGTTTGAATAATTGATGAAAAGATCAAGGGTCAAAAAGTGTATCAAAAATAAAACAAACTTATAGTAGTATGCACTTTAGACAGTAATTTTATTCAATAACAAAGAACATTCCAAAACAAAGCTTTCTTAGATCCTCTTAATTATTCTCCAGACTATCTTTGAATAATAAAGAGGACTGTGCATAGGCTTATTCAATGTGGATTTATTGGCATAGTATTTGGTACTTTCATATATAATTATTTACAGGCTCATACAAATTTATAATTTAACTACCTTCCAAAAAGTTGGGGGATTTATGATACTATATATATACAAATTTGACACCAAAACTGTTAGTCATTCTATTTATTTAGTACACAATTTGATACCCTCGCATTCGAAGGATCACAGCGTACACACGTTTCTTCAAAACAACTTTATTTCCTAATATATCAGTGACAGAAAATAAATAATTCATGCCATACTAAAAGCTGAAATTTAATTTCTCTACTGACCTTGCAACACTCTTACTAACAACTATACAATTTTATTGATTATCGATTTACGTCAATATTCTCCCCCCCCCCCCAACCCTCTGCATCCTAACTTTAGTTCGGCTTGGTTCTGCCTTGCCGTTTTTGATTTACCACCTCAAAAAGCAAATGTCTTCCTTGTTTTCTTCATCTAGCCCAACAGTTTAGAAAAATTAGGAGGAGTAATAAATTGGCAGGACTCCCTATTACTTCACTTAAGGGGATAGATTTTCCCTTGTTTTTCTTCATATTTCGCAGTTAGTTGGATAATATTGCCTTAAATTGTTACCCATAAAATTTGAAAAAAACAGCGGTTTATCTACGTTAATTAATAAAGGAATGCTTGTCTAAATATAAAAGCAAAGATTTCTGAGAGTATTTCTCAGAAATAGCTCGTCAGTTATAAATCGTTGACCTTCAAAAGTTTCATGCCTCACCTCAAAATAATCCATTTTCACATAGATTTTACAGGTGAAAAGTTCACCTGGTCGAAACCCATTTCGAGCTGCAGAGAATCCCGATGCATTTGAGCTTGTCTCAGGAGTAGACCCACAGACTTCCCATTCACCACAGGTATCCAAAGTCATTTCAAGGGGTCGAGTCTCTCCAAGCGGTACTGGTGAGTCGATCAGAACATCTTCCATGGTAGAAGATGGAGAATTGCAGGGATTCGATGTCATTGAATTCAGAAGAGCATCTGGATTGAAGGCATTAAAGTCCGATTGCAACTTCAGAAAGAACCTGTAATTAAAAACTCCATTGACCTATTGAAGATTAAAATTAGATTATATTTTTCGACATAACTGATGAAACTTCAGGCTATCCTATGCATAGGAAATGTCCAATCCAAAGAGATCGATTAGATAACAACTTAAATTATTGATTCAATCAATTGGGTTGATACTTTAATTTTCAGCATAAATAATTCTTAAAATACGTTAATATAACACTTTTCAATATAAATGGTTCATATTTACTTGATTTTGAAAATAATTTAGCGAAAAATTTAAAGAAGGTGAAGCATAATGATGAAAATATGATAAAGCTCTCTTTCTAGTTCGAGCTAGATTTGAAGAGCATATAATTTCATTTAAAACCTCTTACAATATGAAAAATATTAAATATTGGCATAATGTGGTGGGTTCGATGTAACCGAGGCATCCACTTTGGACAGAAAAACCAACCACTTACCGGTTGAAAAAGTCATTGAAATGCGTCGGATAGAAATTCTTCTTAAAAAAACTAACTATGGGGTCAAGTTCAATCCAGAAACAATTTTGAAACTATTTACTTTGTTTGAACACTTCCTATTAGGCCCCGCTAAGCTAAAAGCATTTACCAATCTCAGCCACCTACTTGATTTTGTAGTCATTGCAATAAATCACGGTAGTATTGCTAAGCAAGATTTTAATCAATCATTCATTACGCTCTGACTATGGTGATCATTAGTACACCATAAATTGAAGTTCTCTCCTGTAAGTATATAAATACATCAATGCCCCAGAATTCAAAAATGAAAATATTTATAATGCTGCAAAGTACTATTTCAGGCAGCCAAGTTAATGAGTGATCGGAAGTACGCAAATCCTCTTCACCTATCGTGGCCCCATCTTGCAATCCTGCGCTGTGCATCAAGGAGAAGTTAAGACTCATGGTATATTCAAATCAATACTTTTCTTAAGCCCTCTTTAGTGTTTTCTATGCCACTTCATTCGATAGGACTCTAACTGCAATATTCTTCGTAACAAAATTTATTGGAGCAACATTCCCTGCACCTTCTATTTGGTGATAAGCAATGATGGAATCAGTAGAAGGATAGGAATGGAAAACATTTCTACCTTCCTCCCAAGGAAAAAATGGAATGATTTAAATGCCACAAATGTTTCTTTTTAGTGAAGCTTATTAATAACTTTCAGTTTTAAGGTAGATTGGTTAATGTCGAATTTTAGTTGATTATTGCGTTGCTTAACTTTCAAGAAAAGATCTCTGCTATTTTTTAATCCAATTAAGCGTCGTTTTCTCTCATAAAAGAGTTTTGTATTTCAAGTTTAGATATAGTATCTTTTAAAAAGAATTAAGAATGATAACTTATTTTTATAATTTAACTGATATAAAATTGTAACTAGTACAATTATATTATAAATGCAAACTTCCTAAACAATTAAATAAAAATATTTGCATCTTATCTAGTTACTTAGGTCAAATACCGATGAGAGCCTAGCTTTATAAATACTTTTGATAGGTTACATTGGATATGTTCTAATCACAAGCAGATTGCGAAACATTTTAAAAAGGTACTCGTAAAACATTTCACTGTTGTCATACTATAAGATAACTTTTCAGGCTACAAGTGGTGAAAAAGAGACGACAGGTCTTGATTGTGATGAGGCGTTAAGACGTCCTAGACTCGCCGTTGTGACAACCACTTCGAAATTTACGACTCATATTTATGTGAATACATGATCACCAATTGAAATAAAAGAATTAATTGCAATTTAGCTAATTGTTAAGGCCACTTTAAATCCGACTGACTGATTCTTACTTAAGCAATAAGGCTCGAGGATGAATCGCCCCTCAAATAACAAAAAATTGCAAATATGCATCACATTAAATTAAGTAATGGTAAATTTAATTTTAGAATTATTTCCTATTTAATTAAAATATATGGGTAGTAAAATACTGCATGGGTTTTTCTGTTACCTTTGTGTTCGTGAAACCTTTGAAATGATTAACATTTTCAAGAATTAGACCAAACTTTGGCAGATTACTTTCAATCGTTCAAAAAAAGCAAAAAGTGCCGCCCACATTTTGTTTTGATTTAAACATTAATTTTATTAACTTAAATCATTATACCTACATCCTTTAAACAAATATGAGCACTTATCTAAGTTAATAAGTTAGATACTGATGAAATTTTAGCTATATACTTCGAGTTTATATTGTCCATTTTTCGTTGAACATTTGGAAAGAAATAGATACTGAAGCATTGTTTTAAGACTATTTTTTCCCAAGTCAATGACTACAATCGCTTTATGAGTAAGCCAAATACAACACCCGGTGGGGATTCCCAAAAAAGATATTGGGTAGCTAGCAAACTAACTCTTCCAAAAGCGTGAGACTTGCTTAGTGAAATGCAAATGAATGCAAGTATTCACTTTCTAAAACAATTTTGGCCATTTAGAGCAAGATTTTATTCAACAACTTTTAAAACAAAGATCAATGAAAGCATATGCCATGAAATCGATGCCCATTTAAACCATAACGGAGCGCGAATTATATCTAGATAATAAGGGTGGTGAAATAAGGTGTATTTTTAAAGAATGACTTTGGGTCTATTTCTTTAAAAGATTGTTGGCATTTTGCCTAAGTGAACAAATGTCCAAAAAACGAGCCAACATGTTACAAATGCCGAGGAGGATAGAATAATTTTAAAACTGGAAAAATCGTTAGGTCTCTGAAATCAACTTCATCGATTGTTCTACTTTTTGAAAAATATCAAACATATACTTTACTTTGCAGGAAATGCAACGGAACTTTGTACATCGGAATGAGTTAAGAAATCATTGTGCAAATGTTTGGTCAAATAAAATTGGTCAAAAATGAATTGATTGAGGATGTAGTACGATGGAAATTGGAGTATTTTAAATTTCAGATGATTAGTTTAATTCGAAGAATTCTCATGCAGTATCTTTATGTTTTCGTGATACATAATGTCATAATTTTAATTGTAGATTTATTAACGACCAGACAATTGAATTATGGAGGGAAAAACAGAAATCATTTTAACATTGCAGAACAGAAACAGAGGAAAATGTCGGATTATTTAAGGTCAAATTGACGAAAATTCATTTATACTTTTTCCAATTAGCGTTAATTATAAAACTGTCAGCAAATTTTAAGAGGCAACCAATCATGTAAAAGTAAATATAAAATTGCATTAATTTGTGTAAAATGCAACAATTTAATCTGAAGATAATTTTAACAGATGGATACTAAATTTGTGTAAATAGTTATGACAGCTATAGGAATAAAAATGTCTTGTCAATCAACAATTTTTATAAATGTCATTTTGAAATATTACGTACCTCCTTTTACCGACCTCTCCAACAATTGCAATGCAATGCCCAACTTCCAACGGGGATGGAAATTGAAATTTAATTCCCATATTTATGATATTTTTGACCTCCTAACTTCAACTGAAAAGCAGCCAATACCTGCTTTGAGAAACTTTACCCACAATGAGTCATAGATTAAAAATCCTCAAAATTCACTGATTGCCCCAAAAAATGAATGAATCACAAGGCGACTGCAATGTGTTATCCTAATCATAGTTACTATATCAAGTGAAGCTGTGTACGAAGAGAACCAATCAGAAGCTGAGATTCTTTCAACCAATCACCTTCATGAAAATCACGAACTTAGTTCCAAGAATATGGCAAGAACTGTGATTGAAGCCAAATAACTATCATTTTCACACAAAAAGGCATACCTGACTTTCCATCAAAGACCTGGTAAGTGAATATGAGTGCAAATCTAATTAGGATGATGCAATTAAAGCCAGTAATCACGTCGTGGGGTTCACATGGGGGAGGTGCACCCAATTTAGATTTTCGTCTTTTTTGCCATTTGCAGATTCAGTTGTTCTTCGATTTTTTTAGTTTGTCTGAGAAAAGGTAATCATTATGTTAAGATAAACGGGTGGTGATTTCAATGCTTATACCTCAATTTTACTGTTCAAAGCGAGTGCAAAATACCGTCAAATACCAACAATATGATATCCTTGGATAGTCAGTTTTGCCCCCTCGTAGCTCTAAGTAGATACCGATGAATTAAAGTAGCACCTGATAAGGTCTAAATAAAGCGATCGCGAAACCACCCGACAAACTCTTGTTTAAATACTCCCATTTGTAACTTGAAATATTCAGACATTTTAAAGTGAATTATGGAAGTGAGAAACGCAGTGCGTCCAGAGTGTAAAGAAAGCGAAACTATTTATACTCTAACTTAATTACTTGCTCCTTTTTGAACTTCTCCCTCCTCCCCCCCCCCCCCCCCCTACAATTCACTTTCCTACTCTCCTTGACCTTGTGGTTCAATGTAGCAGAGGCTAATAATCTGACCACAGATGACTCAATACCAGCGGGATTAAATGAAAGGAAGAAGTACAGCAAAACGAAAACAATGTATTTAGCATGAAATAGAACTCCACGCATAATGGTTACAAGCTGAAGTACAAACTACTGGGAGGATCGACAATGGCAAATATCAACAATCAATGATCCATGTTTACGAGTCCTATTCAGATACACCGACGGATGAGATATTTAACCCATACTTAACCAACTCAGGCGAAATGAATGCTTGATGGCTAAGCATAATTACCGCACTAGCCGTTATACTGAGAGTGGGTAAAACACGCATGTCCTGTTGCCTACTAAGTGGCAGAAGATATGCGGAGTTAGAGTGATACAAAGATCAGCACACATTTGCATATCATCTCACTAAGCAACAGAATTAGCACATATGTCGGTAAACAGTCGCCACATTGAATGTAATGAGACGGATTCGAATGTTTTGGATCCCCTGTGAAGATTTGTCAAAATTTCGGGGACGTAATTTGTACGTACTGAATTACTGTTCCCCTATACCGGCAACTGGAAAGAAAACTCACTCATGGATCTTGTATTGACTAAGCAAGAAACCACATCTCTAATCTTCATGCTAATATTTATATAACCTCGAATTCATAATGAAGGGAAGGCTT